GGAGGGAGGCTGGGGTAGCGCGTGAAGCAGGCTCGCGAAGACCCATGCGTGCTGAAGCCATCAGCAGCACCAGTAACAAGCACAGCGATTCCAAATGCACCATCTTGACACAGTCGCTCTCAGCGGCCGGCCGGACGGACAATTGCCGACTTGATGTTTGCGTCGTTTTTCTCCAACCACCATCACACACATCACAAACACACACACACACACACGCAACACACAGAGACACCACATACATTCTGCCACACGTCAACACTCACACGCCACGCGTTTTCTGTTTTTCACCTGCCACACAGACACAATGGCCGATCAACTGACTGAGGAGCAGATTGCCGAGTTCAAGGAGGCCTTCACCCTCTTTGACAAGGATGGCGATGGCACCATCACCACAAAGGAGCTTGGCACCGTAATGCGCTCCCTTGGCCAGAACCCCACAGAGGCCGAGCTTCAGGTGTGTGTTTCTCATGTTTCCCCCCAAGTACCCCAGTAATCGCCTTGCCTCACCTTCGATCCTCTGTCCTGTCCTTGCCATCGACACAATCACCACGCACGCAAGCCGTCAGTCGACGAGCACCTCCAACACACACACACACACACACACAAATCACATTCCATCGTCATCCCTGTCCGCACCACTCGCTCATCATCCCCCACCTCCCCTTGCTTGCACTCGTCTTGAACAGGACATGATCAACGAGGTTGATGCTGACGGCAACGGCACCATCGACTTCCCCGAGTTCCTGACCATGATGGCCCGCAAGATGAAGGACACAGACACCGAGGAGGAGATCCGCGAGGCCTTCCGCGTCTTTGACAAGGACGGCAACGGCTTCATCAGCGCCGCGGAGCTGCGTCACGTCATGACCAACCTTGGCGAGAAGCTCACAGACGAGGAGGTCGACGAGATGATCCGCGAGGCCGACATCGACGGTGATGGCCAGGTCAACTACGACGAGTTTGTCAAGATGATGACAAGCAAGTAAATGACCCCCACCTCCTTTTCCCCTCCCCTCTTCTCTCCTCCACAAACTGCCTTTGTAACACTCGCACTTGTCGCTGTTGTTGTATTGGCATCTTTTCCCAAACAACAGAGAAAACAAAATACCCGCTTGTTTCTTTTCTTGCTGGTTTGTTCCATTGCATGCCTCTCTTCTTACCCTCTTTTTCGTGCGAGGTGTGAGTACGTAACGTGCCTGGTCTTGCCATTGTCCCCTGTTTGTCGTCTTCCTCATTAGTGCCCCTTTACGGTCTGGCTTTTTGGTTGTGGCGTGCCTGTGTGTGGATTGGGTTGCAACCGAGACGGTAACACGTGTTCGTGGGCGTGTGCGCGCTTGACATGTCGGTCGTCATTCTGGCACTCTGCTGTTGTGCATTGCTGCGCTGACGCCGTCTGTGGATGTGCGTGCTGCCCTCGCTCGCTCGTTTGCTGTGGAAGCTTTCCTTCCTCACTCACAAGTTGTTGCCTTGATACACACTGCACACCGTTTGTCTGGGTGAAGTTGTGTGTGTGTGTGTATGTGCGGTGCGTCTGTGCTGTGATTGCCCAAGCGTGTCGGCCTCTTCCTTTGTTGGGTTGTTTGCACCAGCTGCCGCGGGTTGTGCCTCGCGTTGGTGCCTTGGTTGGTTTGTTGTTTTGTCTACTATTTCCAACGCAAGAAAAAACAATACAAACAACAGGAAGACTCCTCATGGGTTATGTGATTCGTGTGTGTGCGTGTGTGTGTGTAAAGTGTTGGCTTGCAGCAATGTGTGGTGGGGAGTTTATTTGCTCGTGGGGAACGAACACACACAGAGAAGCAACAACACATGGCAACAAGTAAAACAAGCACATCGCACACACACGTCATCATGTCACAGTGGGCAACACCAACTTCTGTCATGTCACATCACTCACAGATCACCCGGTACATGCATGCAAGCAAGTCACATGGGCAACGCCGACTTCTGTCATGTCACATCACTCACAGATCACCCGGTACATGCATGCAAGCAAGTGAGGGAGATGATGGTGCTTGGGCTGCGTTTAGTCGCAGCGGAGCGGGAAGCGGTGCTCCTCAAGGCCGTCCTTGGTCACAATGCGAATGTCAACAGCATCGCCTGCAGGAGGATGTGTGTGTGTGTGTGTGTGTGTGTGTGTGTGTGTGTGTGTGTGTGTGTGTGTGTGTGTGTGTGTGTGTGTGTGTGTGTGTGTGTGTGTGGGTAGGGGGAGAGGTTGATGAGAAGGGGAAGAGGTGGTGGACTGTACGTGAAGCACAGGCAAACGCATGCAAAGAACAGCAACTAGTCAGAGACAACCAAACGGGCGTGGTGGTTCATTGTGGGACCTGTGTAGATGTCGCGTTCTGCCGCGGAGGTGAAGACGTCCTTGATGATGGTCATGGCGCGCTCCTGTCACACGAAGGGGTTGGAGGCAGGGCGACGAGAGGAGAAAGTGAACGGAGAGCAGATGAAGGAGCATGGTGGAGCATGGGCACAATGGAAACGCAAAACATGCGCACCGCAGAGAGCAAGGCTCGCAGATGCGCACACACACACACACACACACACACACACACACACACACACACACACACACACACACACACACACACACACACACACACGCACGCACACACACACGCACAGACCTTGCTGATGGGCTCAAAGACGACGCCCTGCTGGTTCTTGCGGCCAATCTGCGTGATGCACAATGGCAGTGGCGGGAGAGCAAAGGCAAGATCAGACATAACTCCCAACACACACACACGCACGCCCACACATAGACAAAAGCACAGACACACAGACAGACAGACACACAAACAGACACTCACACACACACACATACTCACACACACAGACACAGACAACAGCACAGACACGTAATCTGGAATACGTGCAAGGGCACGTGCCTGGTTGTCGAGGAAGGGCTGAAGGAGGGCAGAGGCGGTGCCGGCGGCGCGGTAGTGCTCGCGCTCATACGAGCCAACGGGATCATAGCTGAACACGCAGCCCTTGCCTGCATATTGGGGTTGGGGTTGGGGACATGAGCACATGAGCAGATGGTTGTGGGTGAGGGGGCGTGAGCACAGACGCTTGCGCGCACAGCAGTCACACGCATGGGAGGTGGTATTGATACGACGCATGTCTAGCTCCATGCGACACCACATTGACAACAAACACACGCACACACACACACGCACAAGCACACACACACACACACACACACACACACACACACCGTCTGCGTCGAGTCCTGCGAGGATGTTGTATGTGTAGTACGGGAAGAAGCGCTTGCCGTACAGCATGGTGGCCAGCATCTGGGCACAAGCTGGGGTGCTGCGGACAAGAGGGCAAAAGGGATGATGATGATGAGACAAGGCAACTCAGGTCTGTTGCATATGGAAGAAGCAACCCCTTTCTTGGCGACACATAGACAGAGAGAGGGAGACACACACACACACACACACACACACACACAAAGACACACACACACACACACACAAAAAGACACACACACACACACACAAAAAGACACACACACACACAAAAAGACACACACACACACACAAAGACACACACACACACACACAAAAAGACACACACACACACACAAAAAGACACACACAAAAAGACACACACACGCACACACACACACACACACACACACAACGTACGACATGGGCTTGCGGTGCTGGTACTCGTAGTTTTGCATGCGCACGCCAATGCGCTTGACAAGTGTGAGCACATCGCCGTGGAACCCGGCAGATGCAAGCACTGTCTTGTCCGTGCTGCTCATGTCGACACGCAATGATATCAGAACAACGAGACCAAAAAGGTAAGCAAGGAAATGTGTAATGCATGCGGTTGTGTGTGAGTGTGTGCGTGAGCGAGAGAGAGAGCGTGTGTGTGTGTGCGTGTATGTGTGTGCATGTTTGTGTATGCATGTTTGTGTATGCATGTTGTGTGCGTGCGTGTGTGTGTGTGTGTACGAAGCAAACGTGCAAGCCACAGAAGCGCAACAACAGTAGTTCTCACACGCCTTTCCCTCACGCACGAACGTACAGCTTGTAAAGCTTTGATGAGTTGCGAGAGTGGATGCTGAAGCCCTCGCTGAGACGTGTGTCGGATGCAATCAGGGCGTAGTCATCGCCAGCAATGCCAACGACCGTGCTGTTGCGTGCATGCGTGTGTGTGTTTGTAGAGAAGGGGGGGGGGAAGGGAAGAACGCAATTATTAGCAGAGTAGGTGAGCCCGTTGTACGCACGCAAGGTGAACTCAGACAGACATACAGACGGGCAGACAGACAGACACACAGACAGACAGACACAGACACACACACACACTGACTGGCGTACCCGCCGTTTGAAGAGTATGGGCTGAAAGACATGGCTTGTGTATGTGTGTGTGTGTGCAGGAGGAAGCGAGATCAGCGCGCGGAGGGGGTTGTTACAACAATGTGTTCGCGATACACAAGAGCAAAAGAACGGCCGACACCAAGTCTCTGTCAGTCAATCGATATCCGTTCGTTTTTGCTGTTGCTTCTTCGCTTCTTCTTCTTGTGTGTGTGTGTGTGAAGAAGAGGAGGAAGAAGAAAGAAGAAGAGAAGAAGAAAAAAACCAACACGAAAACCGAAAGACGACGGAAGAGGCGAGACAGTGAGTTGTGCAGAGCAGCTTTGTTTGTGTTTCCACACCTCTCACCACCTCGTTTCTGCATCATCATCGTGAGAGGCTTAGACGCACCGCCACGCACCACCACCAGCGACAGCTTCCTCCCTCCTCTTCACCTCGCCACTGCGTAGTCGTTCGCCATGTCGTTGACATCGCCCACACCGTCAACGGGGTCAGCGGCGGCAGCGGCATCGTCGTCTGCCTCGGTGTTCAACTTCAAGGCGTGCTTGGAAGACACGCCAGCGTTCCGCGCAGAGCTGCGACGCCGTGAGCAGCACATTGATCGTGAGAAGTCCAAGCTGGAGAAGATCACCCGCTCCTGCGACGACGTGGTCAAGAAGGCGGAGGCCTTTGAGGCCGCCTTCACGGCCATGCTCGACGGGATCCGCAGCCTCGCTGATGAGAACGGCATCGCCACAGAGAACGACGTGGGCAGCGACCTCTTCAAGACCAGCGTCACCAAGATGTGCAACACGCTCGAGGAAATCCAATCCAGCAGGTCGGCACCATCACCGTCACCCCCCCCCCCAACGCGTCTCAACATATCGCACTTGCCACAGCGTATCACACGCCTCATGTATCTGTTCCCACGCTCACGTACATACACACACACACATACACACACACACACACACACGCACACACACACACACGCACACACACACACACACACACACACACACACACACACACACACACACACACACACACACACACACACACACACACGCGCGCACACGTATGTGCATTTGCAGGAGCGTTGTGCTGCAGCAAGTTAAGACCTCGCTGGCAGACCCCATCCGCACCTTTGTGGCGCAGCAGATCCAGCCTGTAAAGCAGCTTGGCAAGCAGTACCACACGTGCAGCGACCGCCTTGACCACGCGCGGACCAAGTACGCAGCATCATCGCCAAGCAAGCCGCAGGAGTGCGAGGAGAACTACAACGCCCTCCGCACGTGCAAGCACGACTTCAACCTCACCGCCGTCGACTACGTGCGCGACATGCGCATGTTCGAGCAGCACCATTGCATCGAGCTTCTTGAAAAACTTTTTGCATACATGTCATCGCAGGTCTCCTTCTTCGAACAGATGGGCGATATGATGCGCGACTTCAGGCCGGCCCTCCACGATATCAACCGTCAGGTGCAGCAGCACGGCCTGCAATTGCGTGTGTGTGTGTTTGATTGTGTGTGTGTGTGTGTGTGCGTCTGTGTGTGTGTGTGTGTGTGTGTGTGTGTGTGTGTGTGTGTGTGTGTGTGTGTGCGTCTGTCTGTCTGTCTCCCTGTCTCCCTGTCTCCCTCTCTCTCGCTGTGTGTAATCAATTCAAGCTCGCTGCACCAACTCAACCCACTTCCTCATCTCCAACGCACCTCGTCTCACCTCCGTTGCCCCCGACCACCTCAACAGCTGCAGGATCGGGAGCGCCAGGCGCGAACAGATGAGCGCGAAATGGACCGCCGGCACTCGATTGTCGACAAGTACAACGTCAGTGCATGCGTGCGTGTGCGTGTGCGTGTGTGTGTGTGTGCACGTGTGCGTGTGTGTGTGTGCACGTGTGTGGCGTGCAATTGAGGCTCATCTGCGAGATAGAGGCACACCCTTTCATGGCTCACTCATATTTCTCCGTCCCCTCCTCCTGCTTCATCACCCCGCAGAAGCGCTCAGTCTCTGATGAAGGGTGAGTTGGTGCCTTTCACACCTGTTGCACAATCCTGACAATACCGTTTGCACCTGTCTTGCGTGCGTGCACCAGCCCTACTCTCCCCAATCGCTACTCACATGAGTCATACACACCAACCATTACCACACTCCCGTGTTGATGTGTTACGATGTTGATCGCCAGCATCAAGGATGGCTATCTCTTCAAACGCGGACACAACAAGTTCCGCACATGGCAGAGGTGGGCTGCACTTCCCTGCAGCACGCCATGATGGCACACACACACACACACATGCAAACACAGATCGACATACACACGTGAACACGACCCTAACCACAAATACGCCGTCTCTTTCTCCCCCCCCCCTCTTCTCCCCACCTCGCTCCTACCCTTGCACCAGGCGGTTCTTCTCATTGAATCAGCACACGGGCCAGCTGGTGTACCAGTCGCGCGGTAAGGAGGAGGAGGAGAAGCTTTTTGTGGACGACCTCCGTATCTGCACCGTCAAGCCAGCGCCGTCGGAGCCCGTCGACCGCCAGTTCTGCTTCGAACTCGTCACCCCGTCAAAGTCAGCCCGTGGTGGTGAAGTGTGTGTGTGTGTGTGTATGTGTGTGTGTGTGTGTGTGCGTGTGTGTGTGTGTATGCGCGCGCGCGCGTGTGTGTGTGTATGTGTGTGCGTGTGTGTGTATGTGCGTGCGTGTGCGTGTGTATGGCAGGGGCAGCTTGCTGTGCACTGCATCACCACGTGGCACAATACTATGTCATTCACCCTTGTTTCTGTGCTGTCATGCCAGAACACACGTGCTGCAGGCGGAATCGGAGGAGGAGAAGGCCGCGTGGATTGCATCCATTCAGGTACAGCCATTTTGGCACCGGTGTCACAGTGTCATGAAGGAGCATGCAGCCACAGGAGGAGAGAGCCAAGCACACTCCTGCGTACAGATACAAAAGACATCCGCTCTCTCTTATACTCCCGCCGCCGCGACTCACGTATGCGCGCGTGTGCATGGCAGGATTCGATCATGATAGCGCTCGGACAGGGCCATCACCGCAATACCATTTCCCGCCCAACCCGCGACCGTGACACACCGGTGAGCCATGGTGGTGGTGGGCGGGTGCTTGCGTTGTGGTGGTTGCGACAGTGGTCACAGTGGCGTTGCATGCTGCTTGCGACCACACACACACACACATATGCACACATATGTTTCCATACAATACACACATACAAACATCCGCACTGCCTCATACACACGGGTCCCCCACCGCCTTGTCTGTTTGAGCAGCACACGGCACAAGTGAAGCTGCAGGAGACACACCGGAAGAAACTTCAACTTCGCATTTCATCTGCTGCCGGCAACGACGAGTGCGCAGACTGCGGCGGATCACGTGAGATGAAACACGCGGTCATGTGTCTGGTGTTGTGTGTGTGTGTGCATGTCTGTGTGTCTGTGTGTGTGTTTATCTGTGTGCCTGGTGTTGTGGTGTGTGTGTGCACCTATGCATGGCATTGTGTGTCAGTTGTCGTGGATTTCAATCCCATGTGTCGGTGACGCCGCACACTCACCCTTTCCCACCTCTTCCCACCTCTTCCCACCACCATCGCCATCATCATCATCATCACGTTCGTGCAGCGCCGACGTGGGTGAGCATCAATCTTGGCATCACGCTGTGCATCAAGTGCTCTGGGGTGCACCGCAGTCTCGGCACACACGTCTCCAAAGTCCGCTCTATCGAGCTCGACAAGATGGACAGCGCGACGTGCCAGGTGCGACATGGGTGGAGATGCAGGTGGGGGGGGCGTGTTGTGTGTGTGTGTGCATATGTGTATGTTGTGTGTGTGACCTTTGGTTTGATGCCATCGCAACCCGCTTCTTATGTTTCGCCCTTCTTCTCCTCATACACAACCCATAAGGTGATGGTTGAGCTCGGCAACTCCGTGGTCAATGGCGTGCTTGAGAGCCTGACGTCCCAAGTCGCGCGCAGGAAACCAAGGTCCCCTCCACCGTGAATGCCATTTCACACATACGCTTGTTACTCCGCGCACACACATTCATGCACGCCTGTATCGTGGCTGCGCCTCACCTGCCGATTTAGCCATTTTGTGAACATTCACATGACCAAATCCACGTCATTCATAATCCCTCGTTCATCCACATCCTCTCCCACCACCAACCACCAATCACCAATCACCAATCACTGCTCCCTTGTCACCTTCAGGGCAACCGACCCCAAGCCGGCGATTGAGGCGTACATTCGGGACAAGTACGTCAACCACCAGTTTGTTGACCAGCACCAGTGCCCGTGCCAATCCCACGACCAGGACGTTATGGACATGGTGGGGCAGAGAGAGAGAGAGAGAGAGAGAGAGAGAGAGAGAGTGTGTGTGTGTGTGTGTGTGTGTGTGTGTGTGTGTGTGTGTGTGTGAGTGTGTGTGTGCATGCGTGCGAGCGTGTGCGAGCGTGTGTATGTGTGTGTATCACTTTGTTCATGTTGCAGATGTTTTCATGCGCATCCGTTGTGTTAATCCTCACTCGCTTCAGTCCAAGTCACATCGCTCACATCGCTCACATCGCTCACATCCATGGTGTGTCCCCTACCACCACGACCCCCTCTTCCCCCCTTCCATCTCAAGTCCCTGCTGGAGGCGGCACACGAGGGCGATGTGCGACTCGGGTTTTCGCTCCTCATGCACGGCGCAAACATCAACTTTGCGGAAGCGGAGCGCGGGCACACGCCGCTTATTGCTGCCAGTCGTGGCGGCCAGGCCATTTTCGCACACTTTCTGCTGCTCAACAACGCCAAGCAGGACGTGGTGGATGCGCAGGGCAACACGGCGTTGCATCATGCCGTCCTCGCTGCGGACTACCCAACCGTCTGCGTCCTCATCAAGGCATGGGGTTGCGTTTTGTGCGTGCGTGTGTGTGTGTGTGTGTGTGTGTGTGTGTGTGTGTGTGTGTGTGTGTGTGTGTGTGTGTGTGTCTGTGTCTCTCTCTGTGTGTGTGTGTGTGTGTGCTTTTGCTGCTTGTGGAAATCAGTGCCATGATTATGCCACGGTACGAGCCCTCGACAACACGCCAGCTCATGGCCGTGCCATCCTCATCCACCTTCACAGGGCCGTGTGCCAACGGATCAAGTCAACAGCGACAACAAGGTGAGTCGCATGCCTTGTGCGTGGCCTGGTTTGATGCCACATTCTCCCCGCCCTTTCACTCACACTCGTACTCACCCGTACACACACACGCGTGAACAGTCGCCGCTCGACATTGCGATGGAGACGTGTCACGCGGATATCATCACGCTTCTCAGGATGTGCAACTTGCAAGAGGTGAGAAGCAACGGTGCAACCTGACACCATTGCTGCGTTGCAGGTTTACAACGACCAATCACTGTGTCACACACACTTCCCACACGTACACACATACACATATGAATGCGTTCACAAACGCACGCACACACACACACACACTTTCACACACACGCATACACACACACACTTTCATACGCATACACACACACTTTCACACACACACACACACACTTTCACACACACACACACTTTCACACACACTTCACACACACACACACACACACACACACACACACACACACACACTTTCACACACAGGACCATGACGAGGCGGATGTCAACGGCATGCTGGATGCGGGTGTGTTTGCAGCCACGCGACCGCCGCCACCAAAACCACCCGCGCCGTCAACGAAACCGCGACTTGTTCCTCCAAAACCCGCACGAAGCGATGGTGGTGGCAGCAGTGACAAGAGGCACAGTGGCGATGATGACGCTGGTGACGCAAGTGATGCAGCGCAACAGCCCAGCAGTTGATGCTGAGAGCCTGTGTGTGTGTGCGTGTTTGTGCGTGCGTGTGTGTGTGTGCTGGTTGCGTGCGTGGGTGCGTGTGTATGTGCTGGTTGGTTCTTCGCCACGCAGACTATTGCCGTGATGTCAGACAACACGAATAAACGTGATGAACGGAAACTTCATTTTGTATAGTTGCTACAGCATGAGAGGGATGCCTCTCTTGAAAGTCATCGTGTGAGGGATGTTGCAATGGTAACAACAACGCGATCAACGGTAACAACACCACCGAGGAAAACACAATCAGCACAGAAACACACACACACACACACACACACACACACACACACACACACACACACACACACACACACACACACACACACACACACACACACGATCTCAGATGGTGCTGATGCGGGTTGCCCTGCTGGGCGTGCTGGGTGCAGACGGGGTGTTCTTCAGCTCCTCAAACCACTGCAGGGCGTTGTTGAGGATGTGCACACCGGTGTCGCGGCCGGTGAGAATCGACTCTGGGTGGAACTGAACGGCAGCCAGCGGCAGCGACTTGTGCTCGACTGCCATCACAACACCATCGTCGCTGATGGCGGTGACGGTGAGCGGGGAGGGCACGTTTTCGAGTCGCGCGTACAGCGAGTGGTACCGCGCAACAACAAAGCTGGATGGCAGGCCGTCAAAGACGCGGCTGGAGGGAACAACGACGCTGACGCTCGACGGTTTGCCGTGCAGTGGTTCCGGCAGAACATCTAGCGCACCGCCAAAGTGCTCCACCATCGCCTGCAGGCCAAGGCACACGCCGAAGATGGGGATGTTGCGGCACAGCAGCTGCGTGATGGTGGCGGACGTGTTGAAGTCGCTTGGGCAGCCAGGCCCAGGGCTCATCAGCACAGCGTCCGGTCGCTCCGAGTCGAGCAGGGCGACATCAAACCCGGCACGGAACGTCACCACATCTGCACCCGTCTGTCGCAGGTAGTTGCTGAGCGTGTGCACGAACGAGTCCTCGTGGTCAACCACCACCACCTTCAACCCGCGGCCGCTCGTGAACGGGTCTGGCGTGCGCCGGCCCAATGCCAGTGCACCATGACCAGCATCATCATCATCGTCATATTCATCATCGTCGCCCTCATCATCGGAGAACATCACATCCTGCGGCTGGGCAACAGCATCATCATCATCACCATCACCATCATCATCATCACCATCACGGTCACGACCGTCATTGCCGTTGTCATGCACGGCCTTGCTCTTGGTCCTCTTGCGTGCGGCGCTGGACGACTGCGCGTGTGTGTGCAGGAGCGCATCAAGAAACGCGGATGCTTTAAGGCGCGTCTCTGCCTCCTCTGCATCGGGATCAGAGTCCCACAGCAGGGTTGCCCCCGCGCGAACACACGCGTTGCCGTCCTCAATGTGGATGGTGCGGAGCGTGAGTCCCGTGTTCATGTCCCCGTTGAAGTAGATCATGCCCACAGCGCCCGCATACCAGCGCCGCGCGCTCGCCTCTGTGTCCTCCACAAACTGCATTGCCCACGGCTTTGGAGCGCCCGTGACCGTCACCGCCCACGTGTGGCAGAGGAACGCGTCCAGGGCATCGTAGCCGGGCCGCAGCACACCCTCCACGTGGTCGACGGTGTGGATGAGCTTGGAGTAACGCTCGATTTGCCGGCGGGCGAGCAGGCGAACAGAGCCCGCCTCGCAGATGCGCGACTTGTCGTTCCTGTCGGGTTTGAGTTTGGGGGTAGGGGGGGGGGGGAGGTGTGTTAAAATGTGTGAAAAGACACGGGTGTGTGTGCGTGTGAGTGTGTGTAAGTATGAGAGTGAGTGAGGATGTGAGTGTGTGCGTGTGAGTGTGAATGTGTGTGTGTGTGTGTGTGTGTGTGTGTGTGTGCGTGCGTGCGCGCGCGCGCAAGTGCATGAAAACGTTGGGTAAATAATGCATAAATCCGCAACGTGAGTGCATATACACAGAGAGTGATGTTCAAAACGTGATCAAGTAACATCCACAACGTACCGGTCGACATCTGTGCACATTGTCAGCTCTGCCTCCTCTTTTGGGCTGGACAGGAGCGTCACGATGTTTCGCGAGTCCTCCATGGCGTCCTTCCCGCGTCGTATCGTTCCAGAAATAGGACATGTTTCAATACGCGTGCGCGACGTTGACGTTGGTCGCTTCGTGGTGGTTACTGTTGCTGTTGCTGTTGCTGTTACTGTTGTGGCGTCGTCTATGCCTGCGTCTCGTGCCCTTGCTGCTGCTGCTGCTGTTGTTGTCGGCGGTGGCGACGTGGGGATGGTCTGTGCGCGCACGTACATCTCTGGTGATGCGCCCACGAGGTACTCCTTGGAGCCCAGGCTGACGATGAAGGCATATGGGGCCGGGTTGCGGCGGCGCAGGCGGTGGAACAGGCGCGATGGACGGGACGGGCACGGCGCGTGGAAGCTCTGGCTCAGGACGGCCTCAAACAAATCACCAACCTTGAACTTTTCCTTGGCCAAGCGAACCTTCGCCGCGTACTCGCCTGGTTTGTGATCGCAGACGATGGCTGCATCCGCATCACTGGTGTCATTGCTGGTGTTGGTGGCGGTTGTTTGAGGGGTTGGAGGGCTGGCTCGCTTGCTGCTGGTGTTGCTGTTGCTGCTGTTGCTGCCGCGGGAGTGGATGCGTGGGTGCTGGTGGCGGTGTGTGCTGGCCGTGTACGCAAAGCGGGGCCCGTAGCGGTCCAGCCCAACAGTGGATTGGCCGTTGAATTCAAAGTCGTACGAGTACACGTGGCCGCGCTTCGTGGTGACGTCATAGCGCAAAACGCGATCTGGCAGGAAAAGGACCATGTCGCGCTGGTTGGGTGGGCGCTCCAGCCGAAGCTCCGTGTCTTCAAACTGAAACGCAAGGTCGTACCCAAAGGCGCCGTAGAGGCCGAGCGTGTTGTCCTCGTCGGAGTGGAAGAGGGACAGGATGCTGCGCATGACGCTGAACGCGGACGGCTGGCGCGAGCGCTGCTCCTCGGGGAAGCGGCGGCCTGGCTTGTGCACGGTGCCCGTGATGACGTCGGTGGTCGCCTCCACTGACGCAATCGCCATGCGCTCCTTGCGCAGGCATGACGCAATCGGCGGCAGGAGGACCTCGCCGCGCTTGTTGAGGGCGGTGATGGTGAAGGTGCGGCCACGCGTGACCAGCATGATGGGCGGGTCCGAGAAGCCCGTCACCCACTTGGTGTAGCGGCCTGGCTGCTCGTAGTCCGAGCACATGAGCAGACCAAGGTGCGTGTCGAGCACGGACGAGAGCGCGCGCACGTGTGTCTCCACATCGTTCACGCGCGTGCACGACCGGTGGACGCGGATGCCGTGCTGTGTTGTGTACGTGTGGTCGCGGTCCGTGCGCACGCGTTGCTGTTGCTGACTGGTACCAGGGCCCTGATCACCGGCAGCGTCAGCTCCATTCTCATCGCCATCACTCTCATCCCCAGCAGGATCATGGGCAGCAATGGTGCTCGTTGTTTCATCGAATGTGTCATCGTCGTCGTCGTCGTCGTCGTCGTCATGTGTAGTCGTGGACGTTTGCGATACGTCAGCGCTTGTTGTGCGCGTGTTATCTGGCCCCACACCTCTGCTCGTGTCGCATGCGCCCTGTTTGCCTTGATCTCCATCTCCGCCCTGCTGCACCTGCTGCTGTTGCTGTTTGAGTTCGCGCGTGATACCCACGTATGTGTCTGTGAGCACGCGCGCACCACCGGACGCGAGCACGGCGCGCACGTGGTCTGCAGCGCTGCGAAGGGACGCGGCACCGTCTGCAGCATACACGCCCGCAGCGGCGTTGATGATGATGAAGCGGGCAATCGGGGAGGTGGTGTCGCCGTCAAGCACGCGACGGAAGGCAGCAACGCGCTCCTCAAGCGAGCCACCACAGACGGCATCCAGGCTGCATGGCTCGCAGCCAAAGTGCTCGCCCGGCTCCACGGTGTAGTGGGCGATGGTGTCGCGGTCTGCGCGCACCTCCCAAACGAGGGAGGGCATGCTGGGGCTGAACTCGTCCAGCCCGTCGGCGGAGTGCACAACGAGGCCGTGCTTTGTGCCGTGACGCTGCAGGATGCGGGCGAAGATGGGGCCCAGGGTGACGTCGCTCACGCCAATGACCTTGTGCGTTGCGCCGGCCGGGTTGGAGAGCGGGCCGAGGAGGTTGAAGATGGTGCGGATGCCAATCTGCTTGCGGACCGCGGCAACGTGCTTCATGGCCGGGTGGAAGCGCTGGGCGAAGAGGAAGCCGTACCCGCAGCGCTCAATGCACTGCTCCACCTGTTTGCCAGAGAGCTGGATGTTTGCGCCGAGGGCTTCGAGAAAGTCTGCCGAGCCGACCTTGCCCGAGGAGGAGCGGTTGCCGTGCTTGGCGACGGTGAGCCCGCACGCGGCCATGACAAGCCCGGCGGCTGTGGAGACGTTGAAGGCGTCGCAGCCGTCGCCGCCCGTGCCGACGATGTCGACGAGCGCAGGGGTCATGGATGTGGCCGGCACGTTTGGGCGGCAGGGGACGGCAAAGTCGAGGAGCGATGCCGCGCAGGCGGCCAGCATGGACACACTCGGGGGACTGCGCCGGGACATTCTCAGGGCGACGAGGAAGCCCGCAACGGTGGCGTTCGGCAGGGATCCGGACATGATTTCCTGCATACAAGCGGCCATCTCGGCCTCCGTGAGCACGTCTGGCTCCATATCATCGTCGTCAAAGTTGTCATTGTTGTTGTTGTTGCCTGGTGTTGTGCCCATGGCACTGCCGCTGGTGCTTGCGTTTGAAGCCGGCACATCCGATGCGCTTCCCAACATCTGCGTCTCCCAGGCCTGCACCAGCTTGGCGGTGCACTGCTTGGTGATGGTCATGATTCTGGGTGATGCTGGAAGGTGTTGTGAAAAATCAGCAGCAGTGGCAGTGGCGGTGGATGAATGAATGGAGATTCAGTCAGTGGACAGCAGAGAAAGCACGTGTGTCTTTCGACTTTGTGGAGTGTGGAGTGTGGAGAGGATGCTGTTGTGATTTGATGTCTGTGGTGGTTGGTTGGTGTTGTTGGATGATGCGGTGTGATGTTGTGGGAGTTGTAACACAGTGTGCGGAAGCTGGGGTGGATCAGGTGGCTTTGATCGCTTGGTGGAGCAGCCAAAACAACAGAGACAATAATATGAACAATTCAATCGAGCCATTGTAATTTCATGCACATTTATGTGTGTGAGGAGTGAACAACGGTGCCTCGATGATGAGCGCGCAAAGCATGCACGCTTTGCGAGCCGGAAATGCCAACGAAAGGAACAGCAGCAGCGAGTTGCATTGTGTTGCTTGCACTGGCTGGCTGGCATGCGTGACATGCCTCCGCGGCAGCAGGGTGGTGTCCAAGGGCATGAAGGAACGCAAGCAGAGAGTGTGCGTGCGAGGGCGAGGTGGTGTGAGAGGGCGAGGTGGTGTGTGTGTGTGTGTGTGTGAGAAGGAGGGAGTGAACTAACAAGACAGCCACAGTAACAGCGGAAGGCTTACTTTCCTCTCTTCGGCACTCCAGCCAACAACAAGCGACTGCCGCTCCAACACACACACACACACACACACACACACACACACACACACACACACACACACACACACACACAGAGCGAGAGCGATGGTGTTGTTGAGAAGGGTGAACATGGCAGCGATGCTGCTGGTGGTGATGGTTGCGGTGGCTGCGTTTGCAGGAGAGGCTGCAGCGCAGTGTACAGCACACGACGAGTGTGCCGAGGACGAATACTGTGATGCGCTTGGCGGCTGCTTCCCGTGCACGACGTGCGTCGTGTACCACGACTCCATCACAGGCGCGTGCCCCGTATGCAGCGGCGGCCCAGCCGCTGGCATCTCCTGCACCACACACGAGCAGTGCTTTACTGGCCGCCAATACTGCGATAGCACGGGCGGCTGCTTCGCGTGCCAGGGTTGCCTGATCTTGGATGATGGCGTGGACAACACCTGCCCCGACTGGTGTACCCCAGACTCGACAACCACGTCCACAACCAACCCACGTGTCATCCTCGGCTCCTCCACGGGCCCAGCGTACTCCGGATCTGGCAGCGTGAGTATGTTGTCTCTCTGTGTGTGTGTGTCTGTGTCTGTGTGTTGTGTTGTGTGTGTTGTGTTGTGTGTGTTGTCTGTGTGTGTGTGTGTTGTGTGTGTTGTGTGTGCTGTGTGCGTGTGTGTGTGTGTGTGTGCGTGCGTGTGTGTTTGTGCACGTGTGTGTGTGCGTGTGTATAACTTAATCGTTCGTGCCTTGAGTTTTCCTGCTCACACGGACGATCATTTGTGCTGCTGTGTTCACACCCAAACACATCTCATGTCACTTCGCTCACGTGTTGTACTATAACCCCCACAATGCTTGCACACATTTGCAGAGCTCGCATGGAACGGAGATTGCCGTTGGTGTGGTCGGCTGTGTCGTTGTGGTTGTGGCTGTGGTGGTTGCTGGGTGGTACGTGCGCCGCATGAAGCGCAGCGAAGAGAAGAACTTTGTGGACATGACGCGTGCGCTGGCTGCCAAGGAGCAGGCGCGTGGGTCCATCCTCGCCCTCTCTGTCCGCCGCGATCAGCAACGGCAGTCGCAGCTCAGCATTCTCGCTCAGCAGCAGCAATCACAAAACCAACGCCGACACTCACAGGTACGCGCCTGGTCATGCTCTTGGCTGATTGTTTGATTGATTCATTGTTGGGTTGCCTGTTCTTGCCTGCTCTTGCTTGCGTTGCCTGCTTACGGTTTTGTTCTCTTACTGTACTTGTTCAGTTGTTTACTTGTGTCCTTGATGCCATCTCCAACGTCTCTCGTCTTCCACCCTCTGGCTCTCTCCGCACCGCCAACCCATGCCCTTCCCTCACTCCCTTCTTCGTCCTCTTCAACCCCAAATGCAACGCACAGGGCATGGAGCTGGATGAGCACGGCGAGTACATTGACGTGGAAGGCCTCCACCGCAGCCACACCGCTCGTGCGCCCGCACCCATGGACCAGCAGCTGTACGACGACGAGTTTCTGGAGTTGGCGCGCGAAATTGGCGTGGCCACAGACGCGTGAAGAAGAAGTGGGGGAAGCGAGGGGAGAGAAGGGGAGAGAAAGAGAAGGTGGTTCGTGTGGTCGTGATTGTGTGTGTGTACGTTTGTGTATGTGTGCGTGTTTGGAGGATGAAGGAAGAGGAGAAGGGAATTGTATGAGGAGGAGGGAAAGGGCACAGAACGGAAGGAGGGTGGTCGAAGTGGAGAAGAGAGATGGAGGTGTTGGAAGGAGAAAAGAGATACGTGCATGCGTTGATTCATGTGTCGCTCCGGCACTCCATCAAACACACACACACACTCTCTCTCGTCCTTGAACGGATGCACACGTGGTCGCGTTGTTATCTGTTCCCTTGTGCGTGTGTGCGAGCGTGCGCTACTCCCTGTTCTTTGCCCTCAAGGTCTTATTGTGAGCAATCTGTGTGGTATTGCCGTCGTTTCGGGTTCGCACACATGTAAATATGATGAAGATGATGACAGCATCATGTGTCAAGGAAGGAAGCATGGAAACAGGCGGGGAAGAGGCAAGCAAAGAAGCAAGGAAGCAAGTACTCGTAGCGTTCACGGACAAGCATTGGCCGAGTTGTAAAGAAAGCGAGGGAAGAGAAACACCCAACAAAATAAGTCAGCACGAGCCGATGCCGCAGAAATCACACATTGACACACACACGCACACACGCACACACGCATACACACACACACACACACGCACACAACGCTATGGCGTGCTGTTGGTGGCCAGCGTGACGATGAGGCCGCGGAGCGCGACGTGGAATGGCGAGCAGATGAGCAGGTTACGGTCATCATCACAGCCGATATGCGGGCGCGTGCATGACGGCGACTGCGTGATGCGCACATCAACGTCACCAATATCGTCTGCGCCTGACAGGACCAGCAGTGGCGCGCGCACCTCAAGCGCCAGGGCATCGGCCACAGACCCGTCACCAACATCGTCACGAGTGGCGGTGGTGTTGGTAGTGTGCAGGCGATACCTCCCCACCACCACCGCGTCTGCACCGTCATCATCGTCGACTCGAGTGAGGGCGGTTGCGTTGATGTCCACGGCTGGCGCCTCCACGATGACTCTGTTGCCGGCTGCCCACAGCACGAGCGCTGGCGTGCCGGCTGCAAATGTGTTGCCTGCAAGCACCTGCTCCTGCGTCAGTGTAATGCGACCGACGCCACACGCTGTGTCTGCAAAGTCCATCCACGCATCTCCCTCCGCAAACGCGTTCGCAGCGATACTGGGCAACCCTGTCGTCGTCGTCGATGTTGTGGTCGTGGTTGTCTGCGCTGCACCAAGTGTGCCGACGTACATGTTTGATCCAGACACGACGAAGATGCTGTCTGTCGCTGCGTCCACGGCCGGGTGGCGGGCGTTCCAATGCGACACGGGCAGGAACGGCTGTTGGGTGACCTGAGTGAACGAGACGCCGCGGTCATGCGACACATACAGGTGCTCGAAGAAGCCGACGAAGAGGCGGTCGCCCATGCCAAAGAGCGCCGTCAGGTGAGATGACAACATTGACGCGTTCCAGGGACACGTGGCGCCGTTGCACAGCCGCGACCATGAAACCCCGTCATTGGTTGACCGCCACAGATCAATGGCGTTCACATACGGGCCGAACTCGTGGCCTGGAGATGTGCGTATGTGTGTGCGTGTGTGCGTGTGTGCGTGCGTGAGTGCGTGAGTGAGCGTGCGTGAGTGTATGTGTGTGTGTGTGTGTGAGTGTGTGTGTGTGTGTGTGAGTGTGTGTGTGTGTGTGTGTGTCAGCGTGAACAGAGGTTATGTATGCACCACGCAAACAAGCACACCGTGCACTTTGTCACCAAGAGAGACGCGTACCTCCGGAGATGAACAAGTCACCGTTGTCCAATGCTGCCATCTGTATCGGTGTTGCACAAACACAAAGCAAAACATGAGCTCTTATCATTGATCAAAACGAAGGAGGTCACCCATGACCATCGCGTTCATGGGAATGGCTACCGACAAAGCTACAACAGGATAGGACATCATTTGACTTCACAACACCATCACTGCTCGCTTGGTATGACCCCCTCCCACACACACACACACACACACACACACACACACACACACACACACACACACACACACACACACACACACACACACACACACACACACACACACACACACGACGCACGGCGGAGTAGGCGCGCGACTTGTAGAGGGTGGATGAGACGGAAGATGTGGTGGTGATCCAGGCGTTGCCGGTAAAGGCCTTGACGTCGGACTTGTAGCTGCAACACCCTGCAGCCACGTAGATGTTGTCTGTGGTTGGGTCTGTTGCGCAGTTGTGGAAGCCCCTGGCATCTGGGAAGTTCGGCTCGGCCGACCAGTTGACGCCGTCACTGGAGCTGATGACCGACGACGTGAAGCCGCGCCCGCTGCCATCGGTGGAACCCGCAATGAGGAAGATGCGGCCGTTTGAGGTGCACACGGCAAAGTCGCTGCGCGAAGGGCTTGGGTAGCTTGGCAGCGCCGTCCAGGTCTGCCCGCCATTACACGACTTGTGGTTGCGCTGCGATCGCGCCGCATCGTTGTGGAAGTGATACAGGCAGCCATCCGCGTCCAAGCGCACCATGTACGTTGTGTGCTCGAAGGGCACATCCGTGGCCACCTGTGTCCACACCACCGTTGTATCCTCTTGACTGCTTTGTGCCACAGCGACACCAGCGCCGGTGATCATCACAACACCAAGCAGCAGAAGAAGCACAAACGCGCCACCGTGTCGTCTGCGAGGGCGGGCACTGGCGTGCTGGAAGAGCTTCAGGAAGGGGCGCAGCCGCGGCTGTTGTTGTTGCAGTTGCAGTCCGCGTCATGTTGCGCGGTGTTTGCGGAAAAGTGGTCGAAGATGTCCATAAATTGTCGTGGACGCGCAGAATCCCAGGCAAGAACACCATCCATTTCGCTGACACACCACCATCATTCACCATGGCGGAGCGCGTGGTTCCCAGCAGTCCCTGGGCACACATGGCCCAAGGAGGTGTGTGTGTGTGTGTGTGTGTGTGTGTGTGTGTGAATGTGTGTGTGTGTGTGTGCGTGATGATGATGATGATGATGATGATGCTGCTGCTTTTGTTGCTGCTGCTGCTTTTGTTGCTGCTGCTGCTGCTGCTGATGATGATGATGATGATGATGATGATGATGATGATGATGATGATGCTGATGATGTGCTTTGTGCATGTGACCACAACGCATATTCGTTCACCTTTCCCTGTTTGTTGTGGATGCTGCAGATCCATCTCGTGTGCATGAGGTCGGTGGTATGGTGGCCAACGCACGGACTCTCATCCATTCCGAGAGGTGCGTGTGTTCGTGTGCGTGCGTGTGTGTGTCTTTGCGTGTCCCTGTCACTCACTCACTCACACACACACTCTGTGAATGGCGAGCATTTGAGAGCGTGCCTTTGAGAGGCAACGGTTCGTAAACCTTGCCATTTGTTGTGCACGCACGTGAAGGATGCGCGCATGCTCACACATCAACACAACCATGTATACACCTCCAACCAACAGGCCGATAGCAGCACTGGAACTGCTGACGGATGCATTGCGCATCATGGGTGGGGAGAAGCTCATCTTCGAAACACTTGCGGTGCGTTTTGAGCAGTGGGGCTAACTTGTGTATGTCTGTGTTTGCGCGCGTGTGTGTGTCTGTCCGTGTGTGCCTGCCCGTGTGTGCCTGCTTGCCTGTCTGTGTGTCTCTCTTCCTGTTTGCGTGTCTCTGTCAATATGACCTTCCATCGAACACTCTGTCTACCAGCCCCTCTATGTGTCTGTCTATGACTTGCGCAACCCTCAATTCTCTCATCTCCCCCGCCACCCATCCTATGTCTTCGTAGGAGGCACGACACAACTACTGGCAGGGCCGTGCGCCCGCAGATGACTCCCTCGCAGGTATTTTTTTTTGTATGTATGCATGTGTACGTGTGTGTATGTGTATGACAGACACGAACAGGGCAGTGAGAAAGGTTGAGAGCGAAAAACTCGGTTCATGTGGTGCACCCTCACACGGTTTCATGGATGACACATTGCAGGGCTCTTGCAAGCTTGCTCCCTTGGCGGTATCCAGGCGCCAGTCCAGGCGCCAGTCCAATTACAGCACCACCATTGCTCCCACCAACGACAAAGGCAGCAAGGGCCTCCCTCGCCGCCCCCTGTTGCGTTGGAGCAAGCAACCGTCGATGACAGCATGCTTGCGAGCCAGGGCCGGGAGAGCGTCCTCGTATCTGCTGCGCACCACGCCTCCAGCCATGTACGTTGAGAGGTGCTTTGGTTTGCTTGTGAGCGTGTGTGTGTGTGTACGAGCGTGATCGTGTGTGTGTGTACGAGCGTGATCGTGTGTGTACGTGTGTGTGTTTGATTGTGGTTGTGATTGTACTCGTTCTCTCTCTATCATATTCGTTCTGTCGTCCCCACCACCACCACCACCACCTTCTGCTCCCCTCACCTCCCTCCACCCCCACCACCCTTCTATTCACATGCAGGTGTGTGAGCATTGTGGAAGTGTGCTGAGTGCGTCGCGGATTGAGCAGCACGTCAAGTACTGGTGCCCTGTCCTGCACACCAACGATAGCGACAGCGGTGGCGATGCTGCTGAAGGCGTCAACGGCAACGACCCCATGGCGATGGAGCCAGACACCACCACCGACCATCACCATCACCACCACCACCACCACTAGGCTCTTTCATCTCTGTCTTATGTTTTCATATTATGTTATCATGTTGTTCTGTTCCTCTCCTCTCCCTTTCTTTTGTTACTACTACAAGTTAGAACCTCATAGACAATCACAACAGGCTTTCCCTTCTTCCTTCTTCACACACACACACACACACACACACACACACACACACACACACACACACACACACACACACACACACACACACACACACACACACACACACACACACACAACAGGGCGCCAAATCCGACCGTGTGAGGCGACAGCATAAAAGAATGAACCATTTGCTGGCTGGCTGTGCCGTGACGACATGAGCAAGCAAGTGAATTTTCGTCGAAACCTTCACACAGCCTGCCGTTGGCTGTCCTTCCATGCTTCAGCCAAGCAAGCAAGCCAATTAAAGCCAAGCGCCACGACCAATCCGCAATCCGCCCCTCCTTCAACCTTCTGCACCAACCTTCGCTCGTGGCCGTCGACAACCACAACCACAACCACACGCGCGCATCGACACGGCGATCCAACGGACAGACCAAAGAGCGCGCGCACACACAAGGGTGAGTAAGTTCCAGCAAGTCAGTGGGACAGACACCACCACCAAGCGTTCATTCTTGTGCCTACTTGCGCGAAATTGGCCCATCCCACCGCACGCGCTCGTGCGCGTGCACACACGCACACACACACACACACACAACACAATGCAGCAACCAAAATAGCAGTGGCGTGCATGGGTCAAATGTCACATGTCACATCACAATCACACCGCGTTTGTGGCAATCGTTGCTCACGACCCGGTTGCGCGTTTCGCATCAGCACAAGCAAGCAAGCGAACCCAATCCCACATGCAGCGTCGTCACCATCTTCAACCCACCCGCGTTTGCAAACAAACAAACAAACGCACAAACATACGCCAACATTCTTTCATGCGTGTGTGCCGTCAGGGTGTTCTCACCACAGCTTTTTCCTCCCACACACAACCACGATAGCAGCAGTTGCCTGGACATTGCCATACGCGTTTGCTGGTTGTGACAGCTGTCAAGGACACCTCCCGGCCGGCCAAACGAAAAGGCAGACGGGCAAGCCAAACGCTCTTCCACACAAACAACCAGACGCACAACTGCCCGGAGCCCTTCGCTTCTTCCATTCATTTTTCACTTTTTTTCCCCATCAACGACTGCGGCCACAGCAACCACAAAGAAAGGCACAAAGACCGGTGAGTGCTCTGCTGTCGCACGCGTGTGTTTGAGTGTTTGTGCGCGTATGTGATTGTATGTGTGTGTTTGTGTTTTGTGTACCTCTGTCCGCCTGTTGCGGCAGTGGTGCGAACATGGCATCAAACATGGCCAATGGCGGCCCAGTTGTTTCATTTGTGCTTGATGGTGGGAGTTTGTTGGTGAGCGGTGCGCGCACATGCAAACTTTCGTGCATCCCGGCAAGTGGTGGTGTGCCCTCTGTGCTGGTTCTCGCACCCTCGTTCTGTGTGCGGTTCGTGCCATGGTTGGTTTTTTTCCATGTGCGCGCGCACGCGCACGCAGTTTGAAGCGTGCATGACCGCCACATTGCTGGTGTCATTGTCCCCCTCGTGTTGTGTGTGTTCCACGTTTTTTTTTGTGTGTGTTGCCACCGTGACCGCGAGCAACTCTGGCTCCATGCCTGCATTTCCCCTCTTATTCGCTTCCCTGCTGTCTGTCCGTTGGCCCCAATGTTTGGAACGCCGTGGCACGCACCACTTTCCCGCTGCTTGCCGCTGTCCTCCCGTGACACTCACTCGTTGTTTGATCGTGTGTGTATGTGTTTGTGTGTGTCTCTCTCTCCCTCCCTCCCTGTCTCCAACACTCACATGCACACACCAACTGTCCTTCCACCCGCGTCCATAACTCTGTGTGTGTGATTTCCAAAACACTCCCAATACCAACAACAGCACCTGAAACCAAACACTTGTGCGCGTTCCTTCCATCCCGCGTCCTGCACGCCCTTGTTGCTTTCTTGGTCTTGGCGCTGTTTAGCACACCTGACCGACCGGGTTGGTTGCTTGCTCTGCTGTTTGGTATGACGACCGTTGTGTTTGCACGCACCCCCACCACCACCACCGTGAATTGCGCTGCTTGTTTTTGCGCGTGCTTTCCTCTTGCGCCGCACTGTCTTCCCATCTATTCATTCACTCATGCATGTCGACCCATGCCGTGTGCCTTTTCTTGTCGCTGCTCACACACAAACGCATCTCACACCACGTTTTCCCGCACCCACCGTGTTGTGCTTGTCCACTTTACTTCTGACCCCAATAACCGTCACACCTCATCTTCCCTCCACCCCCAGACAGCCCCCCTGTCCAGGAAAACACACACATACACACACATACACACACACACACATACAACAAGCACCACCTGATACTTGGTCAAGGACTTCCCTCAGCACCCTCCTGTTTTGACGGATCGCTACCAACCCAAGCAAGACACACACCTACCTGCACAAGGAACCAAATAAGGAACACCCGCCACAACTGCCGACAAGCAACCGCCACACAGCAGCGGCACACGCCCACCTTCCATCTCCAACCAAACGTTCCCGATCGACGGCAACAACCGCGCCCCTCCCCCATTACATCTCACGCGCGTTGTGTCCACGTCTCCGTCCAAAGTTGCCGACGACCCCAACATCCACATATCCATCCACCAATGATGGCGACCTTGTTACCGAATGCGGCTGCCAGCCGGCACCACCAGCGCGGCGCTCACGGCCGCGGCACAGCGTCGCGGATAACCTCTGTTGCCATTGCTGCCGCTGTGGCTGTGCTTGCGCTCTGCACCCTGCTGGCGCCCGCCCCTGTTGCAGGCAGGCCCCTTACAGTCAACACCAACGTCGCAGCCGCCATCAGCGACAACTTCAACACCGTGCATGTGCATGCGCCCACTGATGACCACGCCGCCAGCAGCCGCGATGGCATTGCCCGGCGCAGCGCAGACGACGACGACGATGGCGCGTTCATGTTCGCCGGTGCCACGCAAGGCGACGACGACGATGATGGCGCCGCCTCGTGGTATCGCAGCGACTACTTCCAGGTGCTCTTCCCCGTCCCCAACCCGAGCGAGCTTGTTGAGACAAACACGCAGAAGACGAACATCGTCTCCGAGATTATCCACTACGCCAACACCTTCAACACAAGCGTGCACTACTGGGCGCTGAGCGACTACTTTGTGAGCACCTTCAAGGACGGCGGCACGGAGGGCATCCTGTGCTACCTCATCTTTAACACCACCTCGGATCTCCTCGCCCTTGTCGACGTGGCCGAGATGCACGGCATTGTCGTCCACTTCCGCGGCGTCCCCGTAAACGGCCAGCCCATCCCCGAAGGCATGCAGAACCGGGACTGCGAGGTGCGTGGCGACTGTGGCTCCGGCTCTTCGCCCGTCGTCATCATCGTGGGTGCCGTTGTCGGCTGCATCGCCCTCGTTGCGCTGGTGGTTGTTGGCGGCTTCTTCTTCCCCTCGCGCGACGCGGGCAAGGAGGTGGTTCAACGCGATGATGATGATGATGACGACACACAGCAACCCGCTCTGCAACTGCAGCAGTTCCAGCAACAGACGCCAAAGGACGTTGGCATAACCGCCATTCACCAGTTTGTGCTCCAGGTGCGTTATTATGTGAGTGTGAATGCGTGCGTGCGTGTGTGTGTGTGTGTGTGTGTGTGTGTGTGTGTGTTCGTGAAGTAAGCTCTTCTGTTTGTTCCATGACGGGTGTTGTCACATCACACCACACCCCTCGTCTCGCATTGCGTTCATCCACTCACAAACAACACGTCTCATCATCACCATCACCATTGATCATCATTCCAGAACGATGTCGGCGGATTGGAAGACCATGTTGAGCGCATGTACAGCGAGGATATGTACGATGTGCGCGAGCTTGTTCCCGGACTGGCGCCAACGGGCCCCTCAGACGGCACCACATACATCCCGCCGGCAGCCACCGCAGCGACCAGCACCACGGGCAGCTCCTTCACCGTGGGCGATGGCATGATGGACAACGCCATGATGGGCATGGATGTGTCGCAGGGTGGCGAACACAAGGGTGCGACGAGGCACAGCCCTTCATATCCCTCGTCGTCAGCGTCGTCGCACGTGACAGGCATGGCCGTGTCGCCGGACTCGCAGCTGAGCGAAGCGCACGGCTCAGACACCACCGCGTCCACCATGTCCTTCCACCAGCACCGCAAATACCACCAGCAGCAACAGCTGCAGCTGCAGCAGCATCAGTACATGGACACCAGCTCGCAGCACCCGCCATCGTCACACGGGACGCAGGCATCCTCGCCCCAGCACTCGTTTGCTGACTCTGCCAGCACACACGCGCACGCGCACGTGCATGCGCAAGACGTGGAGGTGCCCGTGACGCCAGAGCACATTCGCCTGCACCGCGAACAGCAGCAGCAGCAGCACGCAACAAGGGAAGTCAACTTTGGGCTGCCGCCCTTTGAACAGCCGGTCGGTGTGGACGACGTGGTCAGCGATGAAGCCGTGTTTGCGCTGCCATCAGCGCCCTTCACCCCCTTCCCCATCAGCGATGATGTGCTGGGAACGCGCCAGCACTACGTCTTCCCCGACGAACAACAGCAACAGCAACAGCACCAGCACCAGCACCAGCAGCAGTCGTGCGCACCTGTGCCGACCACGATGAACATGGCTGCCCTGCGCCAAATGCAACAGCACCACGTGCAACAATACCAGCAACAGCAACAGCAGCAGCAGCCACAGCAACAACAACCGCAGATGCACACGCAACAACAGATGGAGGTACAGCAGCCGCCTGCGCACGGGGAGGGCGCGCAACTCCCGCAGGCAACAGACACATGCCCCGTACAGCCCACGCTGTGCGAGAACCGCGCTGTTGTACCGGCTGTGAAGGAGGAGGAGACGGTCACTGCCGAGAAAGAGACGCCATTGAAGGGCGTATCTGTGCAGTCTGTCGTCAGGGGCCAGGCGTTTGACAAGTTTTCTAGTCACGCCCGCGCTACACGCGCGTCCATCTCCTTTGCGCAGTCTCCACAGGGGATTCGCATGCGCACACCGCAGCAGCTGAGTACGTTTCAACGGCAAGAGGAACAAGGGGGCAAGGGGATTGTGTGTATCTTGTGCCGTGTGTGGGTGTGCACATGTGTGCATGACATGCTCCATTTGCTTGCGCTTTAACTCACACTCACACTCACTTGCCCGCTCACCGACACACACACACATACTCACACACTCACTCACACACACACTCACTCACTCACTCACTTACTTACTTACTTACCGTCTGACTCGCCCACTCGCTTGCGACTTCGCGCATTCCGTTTCTGCAGAGGAGTTGAATCAGGCGGACGGCACGGGCATGACGCCGATTGCATACGCCGTTCTCTTCCAGTACGTGACCATCCTGCGCTCGCTCGTTGCGCACGGCGCAGACGTCAACAAGAAGGTGAAGACGTGCCACACGCCGCTGCACCTGGCCACCATGCAGCAGGGCTGCAACCACGCCATTGTCGCCATTCTCCTCGACAACGGCGCAGACCCAAACGCATTTGACGACTCGGTACGTCTGGCGCGTGGGTGTTGGGGAGAGGGAGGGGTTCAAGAGCTTGGTTCTTTGTCTCGGGTACTTGGTTTTCTTTGTTGCGTTCGGTCCTTTGCTTGCGCGTGTGCTTCATGAAGGAGGTGATGTTGCTGGTGGCTGTGTTCGATCGTGTGTGCTTGGTGACACTTGTTCCTTCGACCATATCTCATCTCATCTCATTCCCCCCCCCTTTCTCAAACACGCACACAACAGCACACCACGCCGCTGGTGTATGCATGCCGCAACCAGGACCACAGCCTGGTGCAGCTGCTGCTGCAGCACCATGCAGATGTGACGCTTGCGGATCGCCGTGGGATGACACCACTCATGCACGCGGCGGCACGCGGCAACCTGCCCCTCACCACCGCCATTCTGCAGGCCAACCAAGACACCATCACCGCCCAGGACAACAGCAACTGGACAGCGCTGCACTGGGCGGCTGCTGTGAGCGCTGTTGACTGCATGCGAGCGCTGCTGCAGTCGCAGCGCGTCTCTGTTCTCGCCCTCAACAGCGCCGGGGAATCTCCGCTTCACCTTGCAGCCAAACGCGACGCCCGCGAGGTGCGAACACTCTGTGTGTGTGTGTGTGTGTGTGTGTGTGTGTGTGCGTGTGTGCGTCTGTCTGTGTGTCTGTCTGTGTGTCTGTGTCCGTGTGTGTCTGTGTCCGTGTGTGTCTGTGTCTGTGTGTGTGAACGGTTTCTTTTTCGTTTCTCGTGACGATTCCGCTTCCTTTCCCCTCACTCTCACTCACACTCACCCCTTCCCGTGTTGTCTGGCGGGCTGCAGATTGTGGATCTGCTGGTGCAACGCATCTCTGAGCAGGACGCCATCAACGCTCTCAAGGCGCGCACACACGCGGGTCAGACGTGCGAGGAGCTGGCAGAGTCGTGTGGGCAGCTCGGCATGGCAGAGTACCTTGCAGACCTCCTCTTCCGCCTCACAAACAGCGGTCAGTGCGTCGGGTGTGTGTGTGTGTTTTGTGAGAGAGAGTGTGTGTGTGTGTGTGTGCGTGTGTGTGTGTGTGTGTGTGTGTGTGCTGTGACATGATTTGACCAGACTTGCTCATCCAACACCTGCTTTGTTCCGTTTCGTGCTTCTCACATGCCCACCGTGTTGCATTGCACCCATTGCCTTTGTTGTTGTTGATCGCAGATGCCTCCACCACAGCCACGTCTGAGGTTCGTTCCGAATGTGTGTGTTTGTGTTTGTGTTTGTGTGTGTGTGTGCGTGTGTGTGTGTGTGTGTGTGTGTGTGTGTGTGTGTGTGTGTGTGTTGCACGGCTTGTTGCTGTACATGAAGATAATAAGTCACATGTCTTCGCCGCTTCAACCTCACCGTGCTGTCTTGATCGCTTCCGTTGAATCAACACAGGATGGCGAGAACCAGGCCCCCAAGCGCGTCAAGAGGGTGAGTTTGTGCACATGTTTGTACAAGGAGACCCTCATCCATGCACACACACACACACACACACACACACACACACACACACACACACACACACACACACACACACACGGACACATGCACACGCACACAACAACAACGCACACAACATCATCATCATCATCATCATCATCATGCCGTCCCTCACACCAACCCTTCCGCCCCTCCACTCCACTCCTGATTGTAAAACAGGTCAAGTCGACGTCGCAGATGACGCCCGAGGAGCGCAAGAAGCGGGAGGAGCGACGAGAGGCGCGGCGCGCGTACATGCAGAAGCGACGCAAGGACGAACGCGAAGAGCTTGATAAGCTTGAGACGCGCGTGAGCGAGCTGGAGGAGGAGAACAAGTCGCTTGATGCCGCGCGGGAGCAGCTGCGACGCGATGCACAGGAACTGCGCGCACTCGCAGACACCAACGCCCACCAGCAGCAGCACATGTTCTGAGGGTGTGCTTTGTCCGTGTTGGTGTTCGTTTGAGTGTATGTGTGTGTGTTGTGTTGTGTTTGTGTTTGTGTGAAACAACTTGCGTGTTGTACAACCCCAAGTTGTGTGTCATCACTTCACCTTGTTACTCGACCTGCTTTCTGTGAATATGTGCCTCTATCCGCTGTGTGTTAGTCTGTTCAACCACCTGTTTTCGCGTGTACTTTTATTGACCTACATGCACTGCGCACTTTGCCTGCCTTGTCTCCCGCCTGTTGTTCTCTCTCTCTCTCTCTGACTTAACGCACTGTTGCTGCTTAACTGATGCGTTGATGATTGCTGCTAATTAAATAGACTTATCATGCGCACTTTGCAGTTTCACGTGTGTGTGCGGGCTTTATTCGCTGCTTTAATCGTCTTGCTTGCTGTTGAAATTGTCGTGAACGCACACCACCCAGACAACACAGCCAATCAACACCACCTAGCTTCATCCAGCACCACCAAGCTCACACACCAGACTGCATACCAGACACACACACGCGCACACAAACGCTAATGCAAATGCAAATGCAAATGCAAATGCAAATGCAAATGCAAATGCAAATGCAAACGTTTGGCGTCATTGATGTCCCCATCCAACACGCACACACAGACACGCAGACACACACAGCAACACAGGGTGCATTTACGTGGGCATCAGCTAAGAATCATGACGAGGATGAAGGAGACGACGGCAAAGATGACGACGTCGCGATGCGTGCGGACCCAATGCGGGGTGCTGGCGCGCTGCGTGAAGAGCACAAAGACTACGAGCGCCCCCATGATGACCGTGGTCTGGTGGCAGAAGAGGATGTATGTGAAGAAGAACGAGTCCCAGTCGTGCCACGAGTCGCCGACGAGGTGGCGCAGATACCCGCCCTCGACCACCGGGCACGAGTCCTGGCAGATGAGGCACTTGCCCCAGACAGACGCCGGCACGCGCAGCATGCTGGACGGGCCGTCGTACATGTTTGCCATCTTCCAGATGAAGGTTGGCCCCGTGGAGGTGATGATCTGCCAGTGGCGCGTGACGTGATACCACTTGTTGGCGTACGGCTGCAGCTGCGTGGTGAGGAAGCGCATAAAGTCGTTGTGCTGCGTGCAGGCCATGAAGGCGTTGGTGAGGCCGACGTTGGGCGTCTCCGGCAGCACCAGCTCCGCGTCGCCGAGCATGGGCTCGATGTTGCGGATGGGCACAATGTCCAGGTCCGCGTACACGCCGCCGTAGTGGTAGAGGATGAAGTAGCGGATGGCGTCGGCGCGCTGGATGCCGTTGGGGTAGGCGTCAAACTGCTCCAGGAACCAGGGATAGTGTGTGGCGATGAAGTCGCGGTTGCGCTCGTCGGTCCAGAACTCGTAGCGCCAGCCCGGGTGTGTTCTGTTCCACTGCGCCGGCGTGTCCTTCCAGTCCTCGGGCAGGTCTGCGGTCTTGTAGGTTTGGTGGATAATCTTGGGGATGCGCAGCTGACACTCCTGTGTAGCGCACGACTGGAACTCGGCCGGCGTGACGATGCGGAAGGTGGCAAACGTCCACAGCGCCGAGACAAGCAGCAGCGCCGGCACCAGCACCAGCACCAGCGCCACAAACCCGTCCACCTGCAGCAGAAACTGCTTCAGCCGCGAGCCCTGTGCCCCAGCACCTGATAACCTCGACGCCCACGACGGCACGCTACCGCCGCCCCCGTCTCGACCTCCCACCGACAACGGCTTTGGCAAGCCCATGATCGCTGCTCTCTCTCTCTCTGATGTGGTGTGGTGCGGCTGCTTTGATGTGGCGATTGACAAGAAGGGTTGGTTGGTCTGTGCTGTTTTTGGTGCGGCGAAAGAATACGTATTCTTCTTTCACCAATTTTCCCAGGCAGGACTCTCTGCGGCAAGCAAAGGCAAGCAAAGGCAAGTGAAGAGCAAAAGCTTGCTTGCTTGCTTGCTTGCTTGCTTGCTTGCTTGCTTGTTGTTGTGCTTGTTGTTATGTGTCTGCACGTGAGCGTGGCTGTGCAGCGAATGTGGCAGTGGCATCATGTCATCATGTCATGTCATGTCACACTGACGAATCAAGAGCCACTTGCACGTCACATTGTCACATCATCACCTTGTACACTACTGCCTGTGTTCTCCATTTCTCTCACACCAAGATTTTGAACCAACACCGCCACGTGCATGTGTTATGCTGCTGATGTGAGCAGAGAGAGCAACAACAGCATCACTGACTGACACACGGACACCAACACGAGTAAGAACGACATGGGCGATCACACGGCAGAGCTGGAGACGAAGCGCGCCAAGGTCACTCGGCCAGACGCCGCACTGTCGTCCTCATCGCCGCCGCCATCATCATCTTGGAGTCCATCATCCTGGAGAACAAAGCACATTGCACACCAGCCCCGATATGAGGACGTCAAACACCTGTCCCAAGTCACAGACCAGCTCAAGTGAGTGTGTGCATGCGTGTGCGAGTGTGCGCGTGTTGTGTGTATCTGTGTGGTATGTGTGTGTTATGTGTGTGTGTGTGTGTGTGTTATGTTTGTGTGTATGTGTGTGTGTGTACTTGTACCATGTGTGTGTGTGCCGTGTATGTATATTTGCATGGAGGGATGTTGTGAATTTGCTCATGCACATGCTTGTTACACCACGACGTCAGATCCTTGCCACCCATTGTTCAGCCAGAGGAAGTGGACGATCTCAAGGTGTGCATTCTTGTGCTTTGCTTTTCACAGTCTGAAGGTGTGGTTTACTTTTGATAAACACACGTACACACAACACACACACACACACATACGAACGCACACACACATACGAACGCACAACGCATGCACACACACACACACATTCACACACAAACACAAAAGCATGCAACCCTTCTCTCCTGTCCGCCATCCCCTCCCCCATGCCCCCCATCCCTCACCCTCATCTCCATCTCCTCCAATCCTCGTCCCCACGGTGCAGAGGTACCTGGGGGAAGTGGCGGCTGGGAAGCGGTTCATTCTTCAGGGCGGGGACTGCGCCGAGCGGTTTGTGGACTGCCGGCAGGACCGCATCGAGGCCAAGGTCAAGATCATGCTGCAGATGAGCCTGGTGTTGGTGTGGGGCGCGCGCGTGCCGCTGGTGCGCATTGGGCGC